TTGACGAATTTAGATACCTCATATACGTGGAATAGTCATAAAATATTTTTCCTTTTGTGTCTGGGTTATTTCATTTAGTATAATGTCTTCAAGTTTCGTCCATGTTGTAGCAGGTATTGGAATTTTTTTTTATGGCTGTTATTCAAGAATGTTACTTCATTGTGCCCGCACTGCCCGAAACTGCAAGCAGTTAACACTCCATGGGGCAACCAGTTGAAAAATGGGAAGCTAGAGCCTGTATAAAAGCGCTTCCCTTTCATCCTCCAGGTGAACAATTCTGAATTCTAAATGGTTCATGAGAACCATGAGTCCCAATTGCCCACAGCAGTGACCAGATCAGTGTTGCACCCATGTTTTTCGTTTTGTTTTGTTTCTTTTTTGTTTACTGAATTTTAGGGGATGGGGGGATCGGTGAGGCTTGCTTTCGGGCAGAGAATGTAGGCATTGATTTTTTGTTGTTGTTGTTGTTTCTTGAGACAGAGTCTCACTATGTCACCCTTGGTAGAGTGCGGTGGCCTCACAGCTCACAGCAACCTCAAACTCTTGGGCTTAAGCGATTCTCTTGCCTCAGCCTCCCAAGTAGCTGGGACTACAGGAGCCCACCACAATGCCTGGATATTTTTTGTTGTGGTTGTTGCAGTTGTCATTGTTGTTTAGCTGGCCAGGTCAGGTTCACACCGCCAGCCTCAGTGTATGTGGCTGGCTCTGTAACCACTGAGCTATGGGAGCTTCTCTTTGTTTTGATTTTTATTCTTTCCCTGTTCAAACTTCACAGTTCTCCCATCATTTTACTGGGATCACTTCACAATCCCCACATACAAACCTTTGCCTGGGGCTCTGCTTTCCTGGGGCAACCTTGGCTAAGACAGTTGATAGGAGTATCTTAAGCATGAGATAATCAGAATAGGAATTTCAAACTGGAGGGTGCACCAGCCAGGGAGCAATAAAGATCTCATCACTGATAGTTGAGTAGTGAAAGCTCCTGAAAGGCAGCAATAACCCAGCTACTAATAAGGGCTCACTTGCAATGGATGGGGTGCAGGTATATGTAAATCTTTGGCTTATGTGTATGGCAATGGCTCTCGAACAGTCTGGAAACAATGATAAAGAGTAGAATTGCCAAAAAATAAAAATAAATAAAAATTTTTTTTAAAAAGTAGAATTGCCTGGCTTTGAAAGGCTTTAGGTGATTTGAAGAAAAAAAGTTCCTGGATCAGATCAGTCAACTATCTACTCAAGGCATGTAGTAAAATTCAGAAATCTTCCACAGCACCATTTAGAAAGAACCTTACAACATGCAGCTATATGGTAAGTTGAGCTAAAAGCCAGGCCTAGGATTTAATTGTGGGGGTAGGAGAACGTCAAAGAAGACTGAGTACACAATCTCACCAGGTCTCTAAACTCCAAGTTAGAGCCCTCATAGGAAAAGAGCCGTACTTTGAAAGATGGGATGGGCACATGTGGGGAGAAAAGTAAGAACCCTGTATTTCAAATTCCCCAAATTTCTCTAGGAAGAAGCAGCATTTCCCTTCTTCCCTCTTTGTAGATGAGATGTGCTTTCCTCACTGGAAGGTCTGCACAGACCTCACCTGAGGCAGGTGTTCCACTAGGTGGATTTGTCCTCCCCAAGGAGCTCTCCTGCCTTCTTTCATCACCTCAAGACCAATTAATAGGCCGGATGTGGTACTCACACCTATAATCCTAGCACTCTGAGAGGCTGAACCCGGAGGATTACTTGAGCTCAGGAGTTTGAGACCAGCCTGAGCAAAAGCAAGACCCTCATCACTACTAAAAATAGAAAAAATTAGCCAGGCATTGTGGTGGGCACCTGTAGTTCCAGTTACTTGGAAGGCTGAAGTAGGAGCATGGCTTGTGTGCAGGAGTTTGAGGTTACTCTAAGCTAGGCCGAGGCCACAGCACTCTACCCTGGGCAACAGAGTGAGACTCTTATCTCAAAACAAACAAACAAACATAAATAAATAAATAGTGGCCGGTTTGTAGCCCAGCAAAAAAAGGAAAATATAATCCCTCTGACTACTGTGGAACAGGATTGAGAAAGGGGGTGGTAAGTGAAGAGAGGTGAAAGGCAGGGGTTCTTGTTTAAGCTGATAGTGATGCGGCAAGTTATGAAGGGGTTCAGAATGCCCACTGTGGCATAAAAATTAGTTTGAGCTGAAAGCATTTGAGAATGAGCTTTTTTCCCCTAAACTCCCTATCTGCCTAAAAGCAGAGCCTCCAAACAAAACCCAGAAAAACCTACTCCAATTGTTCTTGCTGGCCTAAAGAAGGAAACTGATGCACAATTAGCATAAAAAGTTTATCTGAGTCAAAAGTGAAGATAGCTGGTCAGGACACACTTTTACTTTGCCTTGAGAAGTACTCCATTAAACCTCTGTTACAAGCAGGTTTTTAAATATAAAAGGGCCCTGGAAGTAAGAACAAGATAACCTAAAAATTGTACCCTCTTATTAATTTGATCTAATTAAAATTTTTTTAAAAAAAAATGAATATAAAAGGGGACAAGGAGTGGGCTGACACAAAGTTGTTTGATAAGAATTCTCTTTGACTTACAGAAATACCGTCAAATTGTTACTGTCTATGACCGCAGGCTTTGCTCAATAAGGAATCATGAGGCCCAAAACCAAGGTCTCTGATAAAAAAACAGACAAAGGATAAAGTGGGCAAAACCATCTAGAACCCAGATGACCACAGAAAAATGACTTCAGGTCACCTTCACTGCTCATGCCTTTTAATACTGTGCTTATAATGTATTCGCATAGCAGGAAATCGACGTAGACAGAAGACTCCAGGCACCAGTTGATTAGAGGAAGCAGGTTTATTCTGGCCAGGGGGTAACTCAGAACACCAGTGTGTCTCCAAAACCGAGCCCCCCCACTCAATCTCTTGCCTCTCTTTTATCCACTTTTCAGGGCGGGAGTGCAAGTGAGAGAGACATGACATCATCCTCAAGGTCCGGGGCTCAAGGGGGAAGGTCAGATTCACCTGTGTCCTTGAGACCAGTCAGACTACCTGCCCTCTAAGGTGATGGAAGTCCAGGGAAGTTACTAGGTTACAATCTAGGCCCTGTGTTTGTCAAGGAAGAAACATACAGACAACAGAAACGCCTGCTGGTTGGCTGAGGCCTACACAGGGCGGCTAGGACAGATTCTTTTAGTTCTGCTTTTACTTTCTTGCCTCATAAGCATACTAAAAGTAACTCCCACCAACACCAAGACAGTTTACAACGCCTCCAGTGGCTCCTGGAAGTTACCCTATAAGGTTTAAAAAGAAGAGGAACCCTCTGTTCTGGGAACTCCCCACTCCTTTCACAGAAATCTTCTGAATAATCCTCCCTTCACTTACCATTAAAGTAAATAGAAGGTGTAAAATAAGAATCTGGAAACTCAAAAGATGCTATTCTCTGTTGTTCAGAGAGTAGCTCCTCTGCCTATGGAGCAAGGCTTCCTCCTGTTTCTTGGTTATTTCAGTACATTTTTGCTTTACTCTGGCTCACCCTTGAATTCTTTCCTATGTGAAGCCAGGAACCCACATGGCTTTCAGGCCAGACCCCAGTTTGCCCGGTCCACTTTCCTGTCTCAGGTATGCAATCTTGAACTATATGAGTCTGAGTTATGATGTCCAGTGTATGGCAATGTATGGCTACTTGGCATCAGTTAGTCTACAGCCCCAGTAGCAAGTGGCTTCAAGTGATAATTACTTACCTCAACATGAAGTGAGATGTGACCGCTGTCACACACTGTCACATTTCAATGCCTCTCTAGGCCTGATTATTAAAGGGGGCATGCATTCCCAAGATAAAACGTTTCTCTTCTTTCTCATTCCCCCTTTTAATCAAAAATCCTTTTGCTTGAAAGTATTAATGATCAAAGTCTGAGTGTAAAGCTGTCCCTCATTACCAGGAAGTCTTATTCCCAGATAATCCCATTTCAAGTAGAGACAGGAGGAGGAAGGAGAAGGCATCTCACTGGGAAAAAAAGAGATAAAGTGCTGTGGCATCAAAGATCACAACAACCTCAAACACTTGGGCTGGAGCCATCCTCTCCTCTTGCCTCAGCCTTTGCTGGGACTATGGGCTTGCACCACCAGGCCCAGCTTGTTTTTCTGTTTTTAGTAAAGACAGGGTTTGACTCTAGCTCAGGCTGGTCTCAAACTCCTGAGCTCAAGCAATCTGCTGCCTCAGCCTCCGGGGGTGCTAGAATTACAGGCATGAGTCACTGCACCTGGCCATGATTTAATCTTTTAAAGACAGTCTCAAACTCACAGGCTCAGATAATATTCCCACTTCAGCCTTTCAAATGGCTGGGACTACAGGTGCACACCACTTTGTCTGTCTTCAATGAGGAATTTAAAGAGTGCCCCAAAGCTGAAATGGGTGTGAAGGAGCTAAGAAAATTTCACCCCAAAATTTGATTCCTTGGTACGTAAAGAATATTTTGAATTGAAGCCCATTCGTGATCAGACAGCATTAGAAGTCTTTCCTCTACCAACATAAAACCTGAGTAATCTGATTTAGAATCAGAAGGGAATGCTGACTTTCTTACTGTGTACTAATAGACCTGGCCCTAAGGTCATCTGAAGCAGAAGACCTGTCTCTTAATCTTAATCTACACATCAATCTGTTTCTACCATCTACACACTTGCCCCCTAGCAACCACTTGCTGCACACATAATTTCCACGCTCTCCCCACTCCCTTCTAAAGGGCATCTTTAAAAAAATCTCTGACCAAAGACTATACTTTCAGGGATTGTTTCTTTTCTTTTCAAGACAGTGTCTCACTTTGTCACCCTCATGACTGTAGCTCACAGCAACCTCCACCTCCAGCTCTTGGGCTTAGGCGATTCTCTTGCCTCAGCCTCCCCAAGTAGCTGGGTCTACAGGTGCCCGGCTATTTTTATTGTTGTTGTTGCAGTTTGGCTGGGGCTGGGTTCGAACCCACCACCCTCGGTATGTGGGGCCGGTGCCCTACTCGTTGAGCCACAGGCGCCACCCAGGGATCATTTCTATAGTTCGGCTCTAGAGAAGTCTATCTGAATGTGTAGAGCACCAGAAACCACGAGGAGGAAGCGCAGTGTTCTCTCCTGAGCCTGAAGCTGGCTCCTGGTGTTGCTTCACTGCAATTGCCACTTGCCATTGATGATCATTCTTCTTCTCGCCCTTTGGGGGAGTAAGAGGGAGAGAACGCAGTCTGAGTGGTTCCGGTTATAGCTATTTAAAAAAAAAAAGCCTCTGACCATCACTGAGACTTTGGGTCATCATTCTTGGATTTTCTTGTGATTTCCTGCATGCCTTCTCTTATTAATCTACCATAATTGTGAGTTGATCTTTCAGTGAACCAACTAAAGGGAAAAAAGGCCCGTTTCACTGTGATGCCAACAGATGGCATTACAGAGTAGCAAAACAGGAGGCCTCAGCTGTCACTAATTTAAAAAGCTGCTGTCATGTGTTGAATTCTCTTTAACCTTCAGAATACTATGTTTTAGGGTTTTTTGAAGAAGATAATGACAGATTAATCATTTGAGTAGTGGAAATACAA